TCAAACTCCAAAGTAATGTCCTCAATGTTGCTCGTGCTCCTCAGCACTACCGGAATATAACAAGAAACCATCAATGAACACATTGACAAATGAATCCAAATATGGCTGGAACACATTGTTCATTAAATACATGAAGGTTTCTAGGGAACTAGTAAGACCAAAAAGATATTACCAAAAACTCATAGCACCCATAGTGAGTCTAGAAAGATGTCTTAGGAGTGTCTGAAGCTTTGATCTCCAACTAGTGATACCCTAATCTAAAATCAATTATTGATAATACCCTAGGACTCTGAAGTTGGTCAAATAAGTTATCAGTGTGAGGCAATAGATACTTTTTCTTCATGATCACCTTATTCATCTGTCGATAGTCAATACATTCTTCTTCTTAAGAAACAACTTGGTGCACCCTAAGGTAAAACACTAGGCCTGAATAGATATGGGCTGAGTGCCCTTCTTTAGCAACTCTTGCAACTACTCTTTCAATTCCTTCAACTCTATTGGGGTTATACGGTATGGTGGAATAGATATGGGTTGAGTGCCCTACACCAAGTCAATACCAAAACCAATATCCCTATCGGATGGCATGCTCGGTAGGTCTTCTGGAAACAAATCTGGAAACTCCCTCACTATCGGAACTGACTCAATATTAGGAGTATCAGCACTAATCCCTCACAATTTCTAAGTACGCCAAACACCCATTCTTATCCATCCGCTGAGCCTTATGGAATGAAGCCACCCTACTAGAAGTATACCCAAGAGAACCCTTCCATTCCAAACTTGGCAACCTCAACATAGCCAATGTTACACTCTCAGCATGTCAATCAAGAATAACATGATGCAGAGATAATTAATATACCCAAGATCACATCCAAATCCACAATACTAAGCAACAAGAGATTAACATTGGTTTCATAACCCCTAATAGTAATAAAACAAGACCAATACACACGACCACCATAATAGAGTCACAAACCGACAGAGATACATGAACATGAATAGCAAGAGAACTATGGGAAAAATCCAAATATGATGAAAAGTAAGATGACACATAGAAATATGTAAAACCGGGATTAAATAGAACTGATGCATCACTGCACTAGACCAAAACAATATGAATAATAATCACATCAGAAGCCTTCGCCTCGGTCCTTCCCAAAAAATTGTAAGAGCGGGCCTAAATACTTGAGCTCTCCCTTTAGCAGGTGGGGTTGTTAGTGTAGTAATTGGAACTAGAGCCATTGCCTGAGAAACCTGCTGCATTGTGCCTCTACCACGTCTGGGGCAATCCTTCTTCATATGCCCTACCTCTTCACACTCTAAATAACCTCGAGTTGAGAAATGGCTATTGAATCTGAGGCTGTCTCTAATAACACGAGTATCCTATGGAAGAACCCTAGGCTGAAGGAGCACGATATGAGCTTAGTGCTGATAATGCAATGAATGAAGTCTGAACTGGAGCACCACGAGCAGGCTGATAAGATGAAGGTACTGGCCTGCTAGGATAGCCTCTACCAGAATAATCTCTACCTCCAGCTGAGGTACCACTAAAATTGCCAGAATATCAGGGTTTCTTGCCATTAACTACCATATTCTCCCTGCTTTGACTCTTAATGCATTCAATCCTGCACTACTATGTCCATAACTTAAAGAAATATAGTACCATTCTGCCTTCCTGGCCATATCAATATTGATATTAAAATTTAGCCCCTCGATGAATTTGCTCACCTTCTTAACCTCGGTGGGGATAAAAAAACCTGCATAATGAGATAGATCCGTCAATCTCATTTCATACTCGGTCACAGACATATGACCCTACTGAAGGTGCTTGAACTGACCATGCATCTCGTCTCTCTGCATGATGGAAAGGAACCTCTCTAAGAAAAGATATGAGAATTGACTTTAAGTGAGTCGAAGTGACCCCACTGGCCTGCTACACTAATATAACTGTTGCCACATCTTGTCTAGCCCCTAAACTGATATTTAGGGAATGCGACCCTATTGGACTCCATGAAACAAAGATTCTATAGAATCTCCTAACAACCATCTAAGAAATCTTGTGCATCTACCAAAGGATTACCATCATAACGTGGAGGACCCATCTTCTTGAATCGACCAATCCTCTTATGCTCGGCCTAACACTAGCTACGGGAGGATGTCCCCTAACCTGTGCCACTCTTGTCATCTGATAACCAGTTGCAACTAGCTCAGGAGTGTGAGTAACGGGAGTCTGTGCCCTTCCCTCTTATTTGAGAAGTAGTCGGTGCAACATGAAAAAATTCGGTATATGCAAAACACTCCACTAGACAAACCAAGCGAACAAGGGCATCCTGAAGTACTAAGGTAGAAATAAACCCCTCCAAGACTTGAGCTGGTCCAATCAGCTCACCTTGATTGAAAGCCTACTCCTCCACCAGAGCTACTAGTGGCTCCATGATGACTATAGTTGTAGGGCCTCTGACTATAGCATGGGCCCTACCACTGCCTCGACCCCGACCTCTCACAGCCTTAGCCTAAAGGCTGATGTCTACTTGGTTTCTCCTGATGAATAGGTTCTTACTATCTGTGAGAGAATAGAAAGACAAGAATTCAAACTCGGGTCAATAAAGCCGCACGATAAGAATGAAAGAAGTGTAGTTTCCTAACATCTTATAGCCTCTCAGAGATAAGTACAGACGTCTCTGTACCAATCCACAAGACTCTACTATATATACTCATGACTCGTGAGACCTACACAACCTAGGACTCTGATACCAACTTGTTACAACTCGAAATCTCACCTAAAGGTTGTGATGGCGTCTCGCCAAACTTGCTAAGAAAGCCAACTCACAAGTAACAAATAAATTGCATTTTCATTATATAACAAAGAGATATAATAATAAAAGATGAAAATAGTATCAAAATGGTGATAGTATATATAAAACCCATGCACGGCCTAAACACGATGACATATTATGCGCCCAAAAATAGGTGGAACAAGTGAATGAGCAAGCTACGAAAATGAGATCAAGTCTGAATACAATAGATAGGAACAATAAAGGGACATGGACTCAGGAACTACGAAGTAGATCCGTAGAGTGCTGCTCACCCTAAGTCTTCGTGAAGTCTCCTAGCTAGATCAGGAAGCTCTTCTAGGACCCACCTAAGAATTTGCACAAAAAAATATGTAGAAGCATAATATGAGTACACTACAATCAGTACCTTATCAAGTCTAAACTTGAAGAAGAAGAAAAGGCGAGGCTAGATGCTTCTGGATACTTACCTCATGAGAATAATAACACAATTAAAAACTGAACAATAAGTGTTATCATGAATAACAAGAGTCACATATATCAATGGATAAGTAATGTTTTGCAAGAACAGAAATAACTCTATTGTAGCTTAGAAGTAATAGTAAAAGATAACATGCCCAAATAATGGAGTCAGGACTCCCTATTAGCATATAAAGATGTCAAGAAAAAAATTATATTAAATAAATACTTCCAAATAGGTCAATAATAAGGATGCATGCTCAACTGATACAAGGTCCCTTACCCCGATACATAATTCATGTATCACATAACCCGATACACAATCCATGTATCGACCCGGTACAAAATTCATGTATCGTACGCTCGCAGGGCCCAAAGTAATATTTGTTATCACCTGACTCCGGAGGGACGAATCCAAATCCATACGCAAAGAGGGCTATAATAGCATCCCTCGTAAATCAATATTCGATGATCAATCCAGTGAGCCAAAATTGTATCTCATATGCATGCTTACCCTTCGTGCCAAAATCCTCAGTCCAAATCATGTATCCATTATGTAAATGCATGTATATGCTCAAGAATTTATAGATTAAAGGTGTGCGATGACTTAATTAATATCATACAAATATATGCTCATGAAATCTCTATGTGACTACGTGCAATCAAGCAATTTAATATATCAATAATAAGTTTTCATGCCTTCACAATTGATCATAAGCCTAGGCATGATTTCTAGCATGGACAAGAGGGCAAACATAGTCCCATAAGTCAATAAATCATGAATCATATGAGCACGTAGACAAAACAAAGCATATAATAATCTAATTCTACTCCGGTCACGATATCAAACTGGTAAATGCATATACGCTCGCCATCACTTATACATTACCTCCAATACCTTAAACACACATCAAACAAGTAAAATCCTAGGGGTTTCCCTTTTAACAATGTTAGGCAAGAGACTTACCTCCAACTTGTAGCCTTTAATCTCCCAAAGTAGTCTTTCCTCTTAAATCAACCTCCGAACATGCCGAATCTAGCCAATACAACTCAATAACGTAAAATAAAATCATAAGAATCGAACCCTAATGACAAAAATTGAATCTTTAATCAAATATACTAAGTCATCCCAAGTCCGTCTCCAGAAATCCGACAAAACTCACAAATCCCGAACACCCATTCCGAGACAAGTCCAAATATATAAGTTTCATCCAAAACCAACTCCATATCGGAGTGCAAATCTCCATTTATTACTTTAGAAAAGTTCTACTAAAACCCTCAATTTGTCTCTTAGATTTCATCAACCAAAAGCTAAAATAAAAGATGCAATCATGAAATAAAATCAAATATAAGTTCAGAACACTTATCGTCCAAATGGTTAAGATCGCCTAAAAATGTCCCAAATTAAAGCTCTTAATCTCAAAATATGATAAATGAGGTTAAACCCTTGATTAAAAATAACATTGCCCCGCAATTCTGCGGACACCAATGTCAACTCTACGACACTGCATCTTCGGAAAAACACTTTCAGATACGGAAACCCACTTAAATCTCGATCATCCGCTTCTGCGGAATACCTTCCGATTCTATGAAATTCCCTTCTCCCTATCGCCAGTGCTTCTACACTCAGACGTTTGCTTCTGCCGACTCCCGGACTCGCTTTGGCAATAAGAAGTTCGCTTCTACATGCTCGCACTTGAGGCCCCAAACCTCGTAGGTATGAAAATACCATACCTGACCTGTTAATCCAAAATGATTCAGAATATATCTGAAACACAGTCGAGGTCTCCAGGACCCGTCCAATCACATCAACCAGTTCCAAAATATAATACAGACCTGCTCGAGGTCACAAATCATACAAAATAATATCTAAGCTATAAATCTCACTTCGATTCAAGCTTAATGAAATAATCAAACTTCCAACTTTCAAAACTCATGTTGAACCACGTCTAACCAACTCAGAATCACCTCAAATTTTGCAGACAAGATACATATGACATAACGAACCTATTCCAACTTGGGGAGCAACAATCCAAACCCGATAGCCTTAAAGTCAAATTCCAGTCAAACCTATAGACCTTCCAAACCTTCAAATTTCTAACTTTCACCAAATTAAGCCAAATCAACCTAAGAACCTCGAAATCCAAATCCAGACTTACACCTAAAGTCCAAAATCATCATATGAACCTATTGGAACCACTAAAATACCATTCTAAAGTTTTGTTTACACAAAATTCAAACCTCAGTCAACTCTTATAACTTAAGTTTCCTACCTTGGAACTAAGTGTTCCAATCCTCTTCAAAAAGTTTCCAAAACCAGAATAACCATTCTTGCAAGTCACAAAACACCAACGAAGCATATGAGAAGCATCAAATAGAGGAATGACATTCAAAAATATAAAACAACCGGCTGGAAAATTACAACAATGCAAAGACAATTGACACTCACATTATATTTGGAACTAGGTTAGATGTAGATGAACCTAGCCTTTTCGTTGATGAAAAACATATAGAAGCATATTTGGATCTTTGTTTTACCTAACTTCAAGTAGACCAAACATAATGATTAGTGTTTCATTAGATGAAAGATTCAGTCAAATCCTAAGGAGTCACATATAAAATTAGTAAAAAGTATTTTAAGGTATCTCACTAGTGGAATTATTACTGGGTTGTTGTTGTTGTTGTTGTTGTTGTATGTTAAGGTATCTAAAAAGTACTCAAGACCTAGTTCTTTGGTATCGTTCTAGTGATGCATTTGACTTGGTGGGATATGCGGATGCTAACTATGTTGGTTATTTCGTGGATAGGAAGACACTACTACAAAAAGAACATTTGGCGGCAATTATTTAGCGGCAATAATATATTCTATAATCTGAAATATATGCGGCAAATGACCATTAGCCACTAAAAAATAGCCTTTTACTGGCAATAAAAATAATTTGCCATTAGAAATTATTAATTGACTTTTAGCGCATAGGTTTTTTTTTTTTAACTTTCCCTCCCTGCCCAAAAAATAAATCTTTCCCTCCAAATATTTTAGACAAAGAATAAACGATTCCTTCCAATCAGAAAAATAGGAAAACCTATTCCTTCATTGAACGAGATACGATATTCCTTCATCGAACAGGATACAATTTACAGAATCTCACATATCGATTTTCCTTCATTGAACAGGATAAAATTTACAGAATCTACATATAGGTCTCTGCGGAGGCGGGTTTTTATTCTTTCATTGAACGGGATAACTGCTCTTCTTCCCTGGCCAGAATCGCAGAATCGCAGGTCTCCGGCCAGATTAACAGAATCGCAGGTCTCCGGCCAGTTTCTTCCACAGATAACTGCTATTCTTCCCCAGGTATTTTTGTTTTTCACCCAGCAGACGCGATTAACAGTGGAGATAGGATTGTGCTGCTCGATTATGCTCTATCGTCGTTGATAGTATTCTCTGTTTTATCCGTTTCCCACTTCTCTTTTCCTGTAGGTTTCAAGATCGTTGCAGAACTCAGATAACTCATTGTTAGTTTCAATTTCTTGTGTTTATTGGCAAAACAATCTGCTTACCAGGTACAAATTCGTGCCTTCAACTGTTGCAATTTGAGATTTGCGAAAGTACAGTTTTTTCTGCATATGCAAGTCTTTTGTGATATCCGATTGCTGTTAAATTGACATGCGATGATTGGGTTTATTTCTCCTCTGTTCCTTGACTGTTTTATGATTTTGTTCCTCTGTTTTCTGCTATTCTTGTAATTATTCAGAAATTTTATAAGTGTCGCCGATACATATTGATGTTTTCGTTGAATCTATCACTAGTCAAGATATGAATTCCTCTGTATGTTTTCTGTTATTCTTGTCATTTTTCAAAAATTTAAAGTGTCGTCAATGCATATTGATGTTTTCATTGAATCTACCATTAGTCGAGATGTTTCCTCTATATATTTTTTGTTATACTTATCAAAAAGTTGCCAATCAAATGCAAAGGCGATGGTCCCTTTGATCTATATAAATACTAAAAATAGAATTGAGTATTGAAAGGAAGGAAATATATATGGCTTACACAGTAAAAAACAACATTATAGTCTTGAGATCTAAAAACGTACAATCAAACAGCAGATTGGTATGCTAGACAACTTTAGTTCTATTAGGTAGGTACAAAGTATTTGCGTCTAGAAAACTGAATAGTCGTGAGTGAATCCACACAGATGTGATGCTTTTAAATAACAAAACTCAGGTAAAATCAAAATGATAGCATTGCCATTTTTAATAACAAATGTTTCCCGCTATCTCACCTAACACTAAGAAGAAAACACGCAGGAAAGAAAAAAAGAATTGAACCTTAGTAAACTAATAAATATGTTTAGATAAGTAAATTGCCAATGAAACAATGCCTGCGTGGATCCCAAACAATATATTAAAAGCATTATAATTTTAAACAAGATTAGTTGGGTCCCAAACTGGAAAATCGAATCGAGAAAATCAAACTAAGAAAAGAAAAACTAAACAAAACAGCTATTGTCGAATAACTGAGAAGAGATAGAAGAAAAGAATGAGATAAACGAGTATATCCAGAACTTTGTTGTTAGTTGTACAATAATCTTTGAGCTATGGAATTACATGCAAATAGGATGGTTATTTTACTATAGTTTGAATAATTCCCTTTTTTTACTAACGAATTTTTAGCTATTGCAGTAAGTGTAGAAAAGAAAAGAATATCTTGAACGTCATGGACAATCCTAGAAATAAAAGATGGATGCATTGTGATAGAGTTAGTAAAAAATATCTGGATGGAGTAGATGATTTTATAAACCATGCCTTTTCTATAAAACAAGATGGGGAACAAATTCTATGTCCTTGTATGAAATGTGTACTTATCCATCAAGTTAATCGGGCTACAGCATATGATCATCCTGTGATTAATGGTATTATGCCATCATATGATACTTGGTTTTGTCATGGTGAGTCTTTAAAGGGATCAAGCAATGCTCAAACAAATAATCGAAGCCAGGCAACTCTAAGGGGCGATGATATGACAGGAATGATACATGATGCCTTTGGAGGCTTTACATAGTTCATTAGTGAAAGTGGTGACGTAAATCATAACTTACAAGAGAATATTGTTCATCCATCTGGAAATCAACCTCATGTAGATGTGGATAAGTTTGAACGACTCATGAAGGAGGCAAATGAAGAACTATATCCAGGATGTAAGAAGTTTAGCAAACTGTTCTATTTGCTGAATATGTATCGTACAAAATGCATGTTCAAATGGTCAAATGAATCTTTTAATGCTTTGCTTGGACTATTGAAGGATGCGTTGCCTGAAGAGAAAAAATTGCCTCCTTCTTTCTATGAGACCAAAAAAATAGTTGAAGGCTTGGGCTTAAAGTATGAAAAAATTCATGCTTATCCCAACGATTGCATGCTTTTTAGGAAAGAGTTTGCTAATAAGAATATCAATGAATGCAAAGTTTGTGGGCCGTCTAGATAAAAAAATGATGCTAGAAAAATTCCAGCCAAAGTCCTAAGGAATTTTCCTTTGAAACCGAGGCTACATAGATTGTTTATGTCATCAGTAACTTCTAAAGCAATGCGATGGCATCATGAAGAGCGCAACAAATATGGAGTTCTACGACATCCTGCAGATTCTGAAGCTTGGAAAATTTTTGATAATAAATATCCTGAATTTGCTGGAAACTCTCGCAATATACGTCTATGATTAGCTTCTGATGGTTTAATCCATTTGGCACAATGCGAATTGTTCACAGTACATGGCCAGTGATTTTAATGTCATATAATCTTCCACCATGCATGTGCATGAAACAAGAGTTCTTCATTCTGTCCTTACTTATTCCTGGACCAAAAGTGCCTGGAAATAATATTGATGTCATTTTGCAACCTCTAATAGAAGAGTTAAATAAATTATGGGATGCTGGTGTAGAAACGTACGATGCCTCTACTAAGGAAATATTTCAAATGCGAGCAGCTCTCATGTGGACGATAAATGATTTTCCAGCATATGGTACTCTCTCTGGATGGTGCACTTATGGTAGATTTGCATGCCCTTCTTGTAATATAAACACTCAATCTAGAAGGCTCAAACATGGCAGTAAGTTTTGTTATATGGGGCATCGCCGCTTCTTGAAGTTGGGACACAAATATCAGAATGATGCAAAATCATTTGATGGGACTAAAAAAACTAGATCTGCACCTTGTCCAGTAACTGGTTTAGTAATAATGAATCAAGTTAAAGATATAAAATTTACTTTTGGCCAGTCAAGTGAAGCGGTAAATGGGGTGATAAAAAACAATTTGAAAAAGAGAAGTATTTTTTTGGATCTTCTTTATTGGAAATTTAACTTGGTGTGCCATAATCTTGATGTGATGCACATAGAAAAGAACATGTGTGATAACATAATTTATACATTATTGGATCTTCGTAAAAAGTCTAAAGACAACTTAGAGGCTCGATTGGACTTGAAGGAGATAATAGTAAGACCAAGCTTATGGCCTCAGTACCGAGCTAGTGGTAGATCATATCTTCCTGCTACTTTTTTCACAATGTCTCCGAGGGAAAAGGAGTTATTTTATGAAGTACTACAAAATGCCAAGTTTCCAGATGGCTATGCGTCTAATATCTCACGTTGCTTTCGCAAACGAAAGATATCTGGGCTAAAAACTCATGATTGTCATGTTTTAATGCAAGAACTTCTTCCTCTTGCCTTGTGGAGATCAGTAGATAAAAGAGTTAGTTTCAGTTTTAACTGAACTATGCACATTTTTTCGTGTTCTGTGTAGCAAAGTGATAAAACTATAAGAGTTAAAGTTACTTGAAGAAAAAATTCCAGAAACATTGTCTACTATGGAGAAACTCTTCCTCCCAGGATTCTTTACTGTTATGATACACTTGGTAATTCACTTGGCAACTGTGGCTAAACACGCGGGGCCAGTACATTATCGCTAGATGTATCCAATTGAGAGGTATGAAGAATATCATTGAATCTTTATCTTATGTCTTTAGTTGTTAAATATTCTAATATCAAACTAATAATATTACTTTGTTCCATAGGTTTTTGGGTACTTTAAAATCATTTGTTCGTAATCGTGCATGTCCAGAAGGTTCAATAGCTGAAGCATATATAGCAAATGAGTGTATGGCATTTTGCTCACAATATTTGGAGGGTGGAGATTCAAGGTCTTATTGTTCAAGAAAATGCAGTGATGAGATTGAGCATGAGACTAGTAAAGAAGAATGTCTTTTTTCTACTGTTGGGGAGTCGTACGGTGGAGTAGATGTATTTGAGTTGGATGAGGAAATATGGTTGCAAACACATCTGCATGTGCTTTTCAATTGAGAGTCATAAGTCGTTGAGAATTATAAAACGTAAGTGTTATATCTATTATTTAATATATGTATATTACTTATTTGATAACAAAATTGATATATGCAAGTTACATGAATAGGGAACATATTGTTGAAATCAAAAGAGTACATCGTAAGCGTCGTTTGACACAATATCAACTTGACCGTGTGCATTTCGATACATTCCATGATTGATTCAAAGAGCAAGTAAGTAGTAGGACTAAGTCATTATTTACATTAAATTATTGTCCTTGTACAGATATCCACATTTACAGTTGTATCTTTTATTTGGTTAGGTAAAGGAGTTGGAAGCTACATCTAACATCTTAAAGGATGATAAAGTCCTTGCACGGGGGCCGAGTTACATTGCAAAAAGATTTAGTGCGTTCGATGTAAATAATGGCTATCGATTCTGAACGAAACAAAGTGAAGAATTCAAGGTGACACAAAATAGTGGTTTTATGGTCGTTTCAAAGACTGAAAGTTATGCAAGCACAAGTGACAATGCTCCAAAATCTGCAAATATCACATATTATGGCAGATTGAATGATATTGTTGAGTTAAACTACTATGAAAAATTTAAGGTTATCTTATTTAAGTGTGATTGGATTGATGTAACTAAAGGTAGAGGAATTAAGGAAGACGACTTGGGTTTCACACTTGTGAATTTCTCACACCTGACAGACTCTGGCAATCGAGAACGTCATGAGCCCTTTATTTTTGTAGAACAAGTTCAACAAGTGATATTTGTGCAAGATCCTCAAGATCATGAATGGTTTGTCCCTAGGTTAATTAAACCTCGAGACATTTTTAATATGGGGGAGGAAAATAGTGTGCATCTTGAGTCATCAACGCAGAGTGATGCCACTAACTTAGCTCTTTTAGAAAATGCTCGTGTTCTAGAAGATAAGTATAATGATTGGGTAAGAAGTGGTATCGATGGAATAGTAATTGATACAAACGTACATTCTCAAGCTTCTCTAAATGATGATGAATCAGGTAACACTTTTCTCTGAAATTATTTTCAAATCTTAATTGTGTGTTAATCTAACTAGTTTATATAGTGTAATTAGCAACCGTAGTTTTCTGTAATTTCTATTGTGATATTGAACTAGTTATATGGATATGCCTCTTCTACAATTCTTCTAGGATCTAGTATTGCTGTCAAAGATGTCGTGCATACCAAAACCATAATAGCTTCTCTTGCAACTGTAATGTTATAGAATCTGTATATACTCTATAATGTTGGAAAACCGAGATTAGGCCCAAGAAAAAGACAGAATGCTGAGGTAGAACATCTATCATAATAGCTTCTATTGCAACTGTAATGTTATAGAATTTGTAACAGATTTGCCTAAAGCATCACAAACATGTCCGGTCCTTGGATTTGTAGCTGTTTTCTTTGAAGTATCAAGTACATGTCCAACACCTTTAGCCATAGGAGTTTGTCCAACTGCTTTTCTCTAACTATGATCATCCTTAATCCCTTCAATAACACCAATACTATAAAAGAATTGTAATCTAATGTGTTAATATTTATTAGGTCCTTGATGCCAACAATGGCCATGTACGGAGTACCGCAAACATCAAGGATACCTAGTATTGCTGAAAATACTTCATTGTCTCAAGGTAATACTCATATTTAACCTTCGGTGCTACTATTTGAGTTTTCTATTGTTTGAATTTTCCTCCAATTTTTTTATCATTACAATCTGATTTCATGTAAACTTGCAAGAAATGGAAACAAGATATAGTTTCGACTTACATGCTTCCATAATTCGATTGTAACTTTATCAGTATTAGTACCATTTACATAAGAGAGCAATAGATAATGAAATAGCAGTCATGAAACTGAGGTCTTCATAGACCATTTGAAGCACCGGCATGTTCTGTAAAGTAACACGCACTACAGATGACTTTCTAGCGAGTATAATGCTACGATATATTAAAAACAGGGCAGCTCGAGTTCCTTATTCTAATTGCGATTCCCCTGCGACTTGTTTGAGTTGATGAACTTATCTTTGTTTGTTTCTGCTTGTTTGAATTGAATGTGATTGACCTGAAATCTAGTGTCTATTGCTGCTGAAGTTCTATTTGGTCTTTTCTGCAAATTTTGAGTTGACCTGCACACTGAAAGCATAACAATTAATGATCCTAGAACCAACCTTAATGTGTTTGAATTAAATTCCTCTAATAGAAACACCAAATATTCCTACCAACTTGTTCCATATAGCTGCTGTAAAATGGCTTGAGCTAAACTCTACTGATTCCAGTTCTGAGGAAGAAGATGAGCAGCAATGTCATCTTGTCACCAGGTTATTTATTCCAGATTTTGATATATGAATTTAATAACTGAACTTCTACTCGATCGTCTGAGTTAATTGAGTTGAATTCGTAAGTTTGGCTCGAGTTCCTTATTCGAATTGTGATTCCCCTGCTTCTGGTTCAGTATGCACTTGAGAACCATCTGCTTCTGGTTCAGTATGCACCTGAGAACCATCTGCTTCTGGTTCAGTATGCACCTGAGAACCATCTGCTTCCGTTTCTTGTTTGTATTTTTCTTTCTACTTATTTTGGTAGCATGAATCCCTTGAGTATCTTGTTCAAGATCACGCAGTTGGTAGTGTCTGTCTATTGCTGTTGAAGTTCTAACTACTATCTGCTGGGAACTTGAGGAGTTGACTCAAGTTTGAGACTGCTTTAATGACTGAGATTTTTGGTCTCAAGTCTGTTGTGAACTGAAATTTGAGCTTGATTTTCTGAGTACTTGAAGTCTGTCTCAAACTGACTCAAACTGCAAACTGTCAACTAGTTTATGCTTCCTTTTGTGATGGTAACATTGGTATGTTTGATGTTGATAGCCTCGGGCTAAAATGTCGTATTTCTCCCTCTGCATATTAGTCTCAGGCAGTGCTGATTGGGTAAGAGCACATCTATTTGTCCAGAATATCTTTTGAACTGGACTTGAGCATGCATAGAGTGACTGGAATTTGTCTGATTTTAGTCCCAATAATCCAAACATTTATTGCATTTACTGGATCAACAATGCTTTTCGATTCATTCTAATCAATAAGGAGTAAAAACAAGAGTAGAAGAGAGAGAGATCTATATAGGTTTATATGCTTCTTTTGTGTTTGGGGTACAGACACATACTGTAAGTCTCATCATTGACGATAGTGATTTACTTTGTCCATGATTGCATTAATCCCTGTTACCTCCTTTTTTTGGCAAGAGCCTTCATCATTTCCTAGTAGTGTTACAACTTTCTTCCGTATCACTTGCTCATGTTGTTTCATTACTGTCATTTTCTAGATGTTGCTAAAATATATTACACTACCTTCCTGCAATGCGCAAAGTTGTGCGATAGTCAAACTTCCGTTCCTCATTGGGCACCAGTAGGTCGATCACCAGTTGCCTTCATAGTAGCAGCAACTGGTTCTTCTCCTACTTTGTCCAGTCCTAGCACTGCTACAGCTGATTTATCAGCTGGTTCAACAGCAGCTCGATCACCCGCTGCCTCCATACCTCTACCATCATTAGTATTAGTTTGTAAAGGTGTATTCACATCCATATGAAGCCTTGCCAAAGCTGTAGCAGCAAGGACATCAGCTGCGCGTTTTACATCAGCATCAATAACACCAGGCTTTTTCTTAGGGACATCAGCTACGCGTTTTACAGCATTAATTGACAGCCTAATTGCCTCAATTTTGAGGAGTGTTTGAGCAGTAAAACCTGCAAAGTTTGGACTGTGAATTCAGCATTGTTTCTACATCTGTGAGCTGCTGAAACCTGAAGCTTTGGACTAGCATTAGAGCAAATAAAATCTGTATTATTCATGTTACTGATATCTGCACCGCTTCAGCAATTTTTGCAGTTTTTGTTGACTGTTTTCAGCTGAATTTTTTTGCACTTTGTGGTTATTCTGCTTGATGGTTGTTGTTCTGTTAATAGCAATATTTTTTTCTGTTTATGAATCGTGACAGTGATGGAATTTTGATGATGTTTTTTTCGCATTGTATTTTATCTTCTGATACAATTATTTTATTATTTCAGGTCATACAGTTTGATGTTCTATAATTCAGCAGGTAGAAGATTTCATAATGATGAAAAGCTGTGAAAATCGTTTGAAGACCATCATTCGTCTGGATTAGTTATATAATGACATTAGCTATTTAGTTCAAACAATATAAGTTTAGTTATTGTGACATCAATATTTTTGATTGGTGCTTCCTTTAATTTCTTAAGATTTAATGAGATATATATATTTTTTTAAATTAATATTAATATATTTTCTTATTTGGGTCATATTTTGGATAAATGTAGTAACTATTATTAATGGTGTCTACAATATTGCTATTAGCGCTTGTGACTTTTAGCGCTAATTTAGTTGGATATACCAGCTATATAAATGGATGATAAATGGGCAAATTAAGATGTTTTACAAGGGATATTGCAGCTGTTATAATTGCTGTAAACAATTGCCGTTAAAAATATTGACTTTTAGCGGCAATTTAGTTAATCATATTAGCCACTAAAATGGCAAACTAATATGTTTTCAGAAAGGATATTATGGCCATTTTAATTGCCACAAAATAATTGCCGTTAAAGATGCGAACATTTAGCAGCAATTATTTTGAATTTAGTGGCTATAAAAATGGATGCTAAAGGAGTATAATTAGCCATTATGGATTCGATTTAGTAGCCATAATAATTGCCGTTAATGATGTGAACTTTTAGCGGCAATTATTTTGAATTTAGCAGCTATAAAAAATGGTTGCTAAAGCATTATAATTAGCCGTTATGGATTAGATTTAGTAGCCATTATAATTGCCGCAAACAATTGCCGTTAAAGATGCGAACATTTAGCAGCAATTATTTTGAATTTAGCAGCTATAAAAAATGGTTGCTAAAGCATTATAATTAGCCGTTATGGATTAGATTTAGTAGCCATTATAATTGCCGCAAACAATTGCCGTTAAAGATAATAATCTTTAGCGGCAATAAACCATACCTTTTACCAGCTTTTGTGACAATAGCCGCTAAAGGCTTTAGCGACCCCAACATCAGCAGCTAAACACCAATGGCCGGTAAAAGCTATAGCGACTATTGTTATTGCCAGCTAAAACCGTTTTGTATTGCCGCTAAACAGCATTTTTGTTGTAGTGACTAGAGAACATATGAATGGCCTTCTTCCTAGGTTCATGTTTGACCTCCTAGTCTTTAAAGAAAAAAATTCTATAACCTTATCAACTACAAAAGCTGAGTAAGTTATTGTTGTTTCATGTTATGCTTAACTATTTTCGATCAAGCAACTATAAGAAGATTATGAAACTATGATTGAAAGGATTCCAATATTTTGTGCAACACAAGTGCAATGAATATGGTAAAGAACCTAGTTCATCATAAAAGATCAAAGCACATTGATATGAGACATTACTTATTGAGAGATAATATAGAAAATGGGCATATCTCTATGGAGTTTTGCAAACCTTAAGATGAGATTGCAAATATATTTACCAAAGTTTTGAGCAAAGATCACTTTGCAAAGAACCACTTACCAAAGCTATATTCAGTATAAAGTATTTAGTGTATCTACATGTTAAAAACATCTAACTCAGTCTTATATTTGTAACATGTATGCACACATGGCTTGATGGAAAATATTAGATAAGGTCTCATGATTTTATTCCAATCTATGAAAGAACACATATCCACATTGAGGAAATCAGTCACAGAACCTGATTCATTTTGACACCAGGTATGTACCTCATTTCCAATAGATAGTTGCATGAACTTGTTAGACGGTCATGTTATAATAAGATCATGTTCCAAAATCGTATATGTTCATATCCAAAGTAATTATAAATGACATTAATCCGGATAAATAAATGAATTGGTTACCTAAAATTCCTCTAAACATATCTTTATCGTCTAATTAATGTCAATTAACAGACCATTTAAAGTTTGAATCTTGGGTGCCACCCTTTCCCTCTATGAACTAGATTAGGATTTAAAAATCCTTGACTAATTAGGACCTAAACTATCAAATCATGTCTCCTATTTAAACCTCTCACCCACATTCTTTTTGTCCCATTCAATCTATTTTCTTTATCTCACAAAACCATAAGCAAAGAAAAGAACCCTATGTTCAAATTCCTCAAGAAAACATAAATCGCTCAACAATGTCGACCTCACCAAACCTTCCCATATTTGGTTCCCGTGAGTCTAACATAATCCCGGTCAACAATACCTCTTCCCTTTCATCTTCTAAAACCGAGTCAATCCAAAATCTAAACCCACTAAAAATCCTAGATTTTGTCTCAGGGATGGTTGACTATTCAGACAAAGAAGAAAGTGAAAATTCTAACCAAGCAAGCCCAAAAAATCAACGAGTCTAAAAGTCAGGGGGATGAATTAGATGTAAGGAATAAGGAAAAGGAGAAAGCAAAAATACTGGGTATTAGTGAAGATGATAGTGTAGAGGTCATAGAAGGCCCAGGTGTTGAGGTGAGTTCTAATATAGGTGTAGAAGACCAGAAGCACATTGTTCTAAACTAGGTCTTTCTACTACTGGTGAAGGCTTGGAAGGTGAAGGAGAGATTAGAACAAGTAGAGATCCTAGTAGAGGAGGTCGAGGAAGATGATGGTAAAAAGTTGCCAGAGAACAAAGAACCACGGTTTTTGGACTCGACAGAGAAAATCTTCTTCACCAGGGTTACAATTTACTTATAGTGCGAATGAAAATACATGGGAGAAAAAGGGAGAAATTGAAGTGAACAAAATAGGGAGTGACAATGAAGAGGTAGTTTTGGTAAAGAGAATTAGGCAGTTAAAAAAGGTGGTTGTTGGTGAAGGAGTGAAACCTTCCATGAGAGTATAACATATAGCCTGAAAGATTGTGAGACAAAGTAAAATCAAAGTTTCCAAGGGTAGAACTCCAAATAATAGGGGAAAAGCCATGTTGTTCTTGAAAAATAGTTGAGGAAAGCAAGAAAAAGCGAAAAGAGAGACAAGAATTCAGGCTAAGGGATGAGTCCAATGTGGAGGAGGATGATTTGGCAAGGGAGGAAGAAAAAGAAGAAGGGATTCATATTCAAAGAAAAGGGAAGGAGAAGGTTGAATCAGTTCCAAACACTGGAAGAAAACTACAAAAAAGATTGATGTGATAGGTGAAATCTGGGGAACCGATTCTCCCCCCCCCCCCCCCC